TAGGTACTGCTTTGGTGGGAAGCTAACAGCGTTCCATGTGCCTCGGCATTTAGTCACACCGGCCACGTGACCACGGAAAAAGTCTTCGGGCAGTGCTGGCTCTTCAGCGTGGAAACGGAGATGAGCACCGCCCCCTACAGTCGGATTCAACTGGCTTTCGAGCAAGGGAAACCTTTATTATATAGGTGTGCCCCTCATCATGTGAAAGCGCCCTCTGTTGCCACTCCTAGCATTTCAAAAGTGGTCTGTCATGTAGGATGAAAGGGTGGGGTGGGGGGTCCATTTCCAGAAGCACGACCCCCAGAGCCACTTGAGTGTGCAGAAGTGGTTACGTGGCTCTATGAATCCTGGCTAAAGACACGTATGAAGCTGCCTGACACTGAATCAGACCCTTATTTTATTTATATATATTTATAAATTAGATTTATGAATCGCCCAGTCCCTGCTTACTCAGGGCTCTGGGCAATGAACAGCAAAACGCTAAAACAACAAACGATAAAACACAATAACAATTCTGTTTAGATTAAAACAGTTCTCAGATGGCGTTAACACAAGCCGAGTGACATGTCAGTTTTCACACCGCCCACCACCCCACGGGAGGGGCGGGAGGGTATTAGAAAAGATGGAACAGGAATTGGGAAAGGGGTAGGGAGTGCCAGCCAGGACAGTGCCCGTCGCTGTCCTCAACCAAAAAGCCTGGCAGAACATCTCTGCCTTGCGGGCCCTGCGGAATTGCATCAAGTCCCGCAGGGCCCAAGTGTCACTTGGCAGAGAGCTCCACCAGAAAGGAGCCAGGGCCGAAAAAGCCGGGTGTCTTTTGGGCCAGGGATCACCAGCCTGTTGTTCCCAGCAGAGCGTAAAGCTCTTCGGGGGACATACCGGAGGACCCTTTGGTCCATCAAGGTCAGTCTTGTCTACCCAGACCAGCAGTATCTCTCCAAGGTCTCGGGCAGCGGCCGTTCACATCACTGACTGCCTGATTCTTTTAAGTGGAAAAGCTGGGGATTGTTACCTGGGACCTGCTGCATGGAACTCAGATGTCCTAATGCTGAGCCACAAAAGTTTCCAGGATGAAAAGGAATTAAGGGAGAGTCGTAGTGTTAGAGCACAGAAGGGTCCCAGTTTTCATCTCTGGCAACTCCTGCTAAAAGGATCTCTGATAGCAGGCATTTTGGGAAGACCTACCTGAGACTCCAGAGGGACAAGACCCTCAGAGTGGACGGTGTCCTCTTTCTATCTCTGTTTATCCCACTCATCCTCCAAGGTGCCCGTTTCAGCTTATGTTGTTCTCCCTGTTTTATCCACCCGACGACCATGTCAAGTAGCCTGGAGAGAGTATGACTGGCCCAAGATCAGTCAGAAGCTTCATGGCCATGGAGGTCTCTAACCACTACACAACTCTGTCCACCGGCCACTTACCCCAGTGTTCTGACTCGGCCATCAGGAGCTTCATACCTTTGCATGATTTCTCACAGGTGGCCCCCAGTTCAATACCCAGAATATCAACTTAACACATGAACAGATGAAGCTGCCTTCTGCTAAATCAGACGCCTGGTCCATCAAAGTCAGTATTGATTGATCAGACAGGCAGCGGCTCTCCGCATCACCTACTGCCAGATCTTGTAACTGGAGATGCCAAGGATCGAACCTGGGACCTTCTGCATGCCAAGCAGGTGCTCTACCACTGAGCCACAGACCCTCCGCTAAAGACCTTCAGTATCAGAAAGATCTGCCTCAAGACAGAGAGAAAGAAGAGAAGAAGGAGAGATTGGGTTTATACCCCGCCCTTCACTACCCGAAGGAGTCTCAGAGCGGTTTACAATCTCCTTTCCCTTCCCTTCCCCACAACAGACACCCTGTGAGGTGGGTGGGGCTGAGAGAGTTCTCTCAAGGAACTGCCCTTGAGAGAACAGCTCTGCGAGAACTTGTAACTGACCCAAGGTCACACCAGCAGCTGCATGTGAAGGAGTGGGGAATCAAACCTGGTTCTCCCAGATTAGAGTCCATGCTCCTGAGTCCTAACAATGACACCAAACTGGCTCTCCCTACACCAAACTGGTCCTCCCAGGAAAGGCCTGGGTTTAATTCTTAGGAGTTTAAAAGGAAGGGATGGGGAGACAGTCTTGTGCAGTGGTTAGAGTATCAGACTAGGAAAGCCAGTCTCAGATTCCCTCTCTGCCATGAAGCTCACTGGAACAGTTGCCATCACTCAGCCCAAACTACCTGACAGGGTTGTTGTAAGTAAAAATGGAGGAAGGAAGTCCTGTGTATGCCACTTCAAGCTCCTTGGAGAAAGGGTGGGATAGAAATGTAAGATCATACAGACAGAGATCTCTGTCTAAGACTTTGGAGAGCTGCTGCCAATCAGAGCAGACAATGCTGGGCTAGATAGACCAATGGCCTATCATCATCATCATCATCAACAACAGCAACGTAGGGCATTGCATGCCAAATAGCCAGGAGATCCTAAGATTGTCTGGCAGCCAGAAGTTCTAGCTCTTTTAGCATTATGCACCACTAGGTGGCAAGATAGACTTGTTTTTGAGGCAAGAGACGTTTAAAAGGTGGTTTCCCATTGCCTGTCTCTGCGTCATGACCCTGGTATATCTTGGAGGTCGCCCTTCCAAATACTAGCCAAGGCCGACCCTGCTTAGCTTCCAAGATCTGACGGAATCGGGCTAGACTGGGCTATCCAGGTCAGGACAGACCAATGGCCTGACTCTGCAGTATAAAAGCAACTTCATCTGAATAAGAGGCAGACAGGCCCATAGCCAGAAAATTTTGGTTGGTGGGACAGGGGCTGGGACACTGGGGAAGGGAAGCAGGGAACTATTAGCTGACTCCCTACGCCCTCTGCTGGACAAGATCAATGGCATTAAACAACAATTGTCAATAATTGGGCAGAGTTTGGCAGAGCAGCAGATGCAGCTGACTCAATCATGAAAAGCAACAGAGCAAATGGGAGAGAAAGTGAAGGAAATGGACGTCACTACTAAAAAGGTTAAGAAAAGGGTGCAAAAGCTGGAAATGAAGCAAGCTATGGAAGAGTCAAAGCTTTTACGGCTACAAATGGATAAAGCAAATTTGGTCCTATGGTTTCAAGGGGTCCCGGAAATTAAAGGAGAGAATCTGAAGCAACAGCTGAGTTGCATTAACCCCAATGACAGATTTAACAGCGGAATACCTTTGCAGCGAGATGGGTGTGGTCTACAGGTCCTATTCATCGTACATCAAGAAAAATAATCTGCCTGGGGAGATAGTGGTCAGATTCTCTAAGAGACATGTGAGAGATGCTATTTTGAAAGCAACTTCGGGAACACCATTGAAAATTGGGGACAATAACATCAGGATCTTAGAAGACATTCCATTTGATATAAGACAGAAGAGAAAGAACTATAAAGAATTAATCCTTTTCTTACAAACAAATGGCATTAATTACAGGTGGTTAACCCCAGAAGACGTCATTTTCAAGCTCAACGATAAAAAAGAAAATATTGACTCTGTTTTTAAAGTGCGTGAATTTCTGCGGACACAACTTAGGGAGCCAGAGGAGGGTAAAGGGGAGGAAGAAGCAAGCAAGTCTGATGGCAAGTTGGGCTCGGGGTCTTCGGACAAGGACTCCCCCTCTGAAAAGGGGGCGGCTGCCCCCAAAAGCCCATATAAATTGAGGATTAGAAAAGATAAGAATAAATAAAGGCTGAAGGACTCTGATTTGTGCCTGAAAAAATTGGGAAATAACTTGGGGATGCTTTGGGATTCTCTTTAATATTATCTTAGCATAACCGACTAAGTTCATTGTATTATTAGTAGCTTTTTGAAAATAGCATGATGTTAAGCTGATGTATTGATCTCCTACTCTTGGGTTTGTAGTTAGTTGTGGGTCTTTATTCTTTCTCCCCCTAGATGTAGTTCCCTTCCCCATATTTTCTGTTGTAGTTTTGTAGTCTGGAAAAAACCCCAATAAAAACCTCCCCCCAGGGGGATGAAATAAAAAAAAGATTAGTTCCCCGGGGAGGTCACTTAGGGGCCTTCTGTTCCAGAGCTCGTCTGCCCCTTCTGGTCAGTTTCACTCCCCCCCCCCCAATCAGATGTTAGGTTTAAGAGCTGATGGCAGGGGGGAGTGAAACTGACAAGAAGCAGCAGAGCCAGTTTGGTGGAGTGGTTAAGAGTGGTGGACTCTGATTTGGGAGAACCGGGTTTGATTCCCCGCTCCTCCACATGCAGCTGCTGGTGTGACCTTGGGTCAGTCACAAGTTCTCTCAGAGCTTTTCTCTCAAGGGCAGTCCTCAAGAGAGCTCTCTCAGCCCCACCTACCTCACAGGGTGTCTGTTGTGGGGAGGGGAAGTGAAGGGTAGTGAAGGGCGGGGTATAAATCCAATCTCTTCTTCTTCTCTTCTTCTTTCCTCCCCCAGCCTCCCCGCTGCTGCGGGGGGCTGGAGAAGGAAAGGCAGAGAGAGAGAAGGAAAGGGAGGCCGCCCTGCGCTTGTGTTCAGTTTCACTCTGGATCAGCTGTTAAACCTAACAGCTGATTGGTGGGAGTGAAACTGACCAGAAGTGGCAGGACAGCTTCCCTGGAAGATCCCAGGAGGCCACAGAGGGGCAGTGGTAAGGAGCACGGCATAGCGCGGTGTGTGTGTGTGTCTGACATTGTCCCGGTGTGGGGCAGGACTAACCTCTGGTGGGACTCTGCCCCCAAATGCCGCACCATGGCTGTGGGCCTGAAGGCAGAGTGAGTATGTTTTGGGGAGGGAAGGTAGCACGGTGTGGCCCAATCGTGTCAGATCGCGGAAGCAAAGCAGGCCAGTGCTTAGATGGAGGACCACTGAGGAAGACTCGGCAGAGGAAGGCAATGGCAAAACCCCTCTGCTCACTTGCCTTGAAAGCCCCTAACTTGGGTCACCATAAGTCTGTTGCTGCTTGATGGCACTTGCATACATAAGTATGTTTTCACAGATTGTTGCTGGCTTGAGTCACATCGTCTCTTGTTTGCCTCTCTGCAGGAGATTACCGTGGATGCTTCCGTCACCTCCTACGAACTCCAGGACCTCTTTCCTTCTAGCCGGTACCAGGTTCAAGTCCAGGCACTGAGAAGAGGCACACCAACAGCCCCCACCTCTACCTCTTTCACCACGGGTAAGAAACTCACAGGCTTCCTGGGTTTTCCTCATACTCAAGCAGGCTGTGAAGCCTGAGGGCGTTTTCATACACAAAGGTTCAATCTGCTTGTAAAACTGACACTGGTTCAGAATGCTCATTTGTGCGACAAATTCCTCGCTTTCAATTCCGCATCAACACCCGTGAGCCATCCTGCTGTAAACTGCACGCGAGGGGCTCAGCCACACCTGTGAGAACAACGTGATTAAAAGCAGGGAACGCACAGCTGCGTTTTCTGGAACGAAAGGAAGCCGTGCGCATTTAGTTACACTGCACCCCTGCGACCCAACAGACTGGATCCATACGTGGTAACTATTTTTGGTACAGCAAGAAATGCTCACAAAGCTTTGACTTCCCCTTGCTCGCAGTGGGAAACACCAAAACGATGCGCTCCAAGTTTTTTGGAAAGGGTCTGTGTATGTAAAATGGTTTCCAACCAGTTCTTTTAGAACTCGGATCCCTGACTGGAAGGGGCTCTTTCCGGTTTGCATTCAAACATGGCTGCCAAGTCCAGCCAGGGCTGCCTGGACCATCTCAGTGCACATGTAGACAGACTTAACATATTCAAGGCGGCTGAATGCACAATTTCTGGAAAGCGCTTGCAAACCCAGTTCCGCCATAGTTAGAGCGAGGACAGACTTACAGGATTTCAGGGCAAGTCCACTGGGGAAACACAGCCACCACATCTCTGACAGATGTCCCAGCCTTTTCCGATTGACAGATTGGCAGGGAACCTGGTCTTCTGATTTAAAGCACAAGACATGAACAGCACGGATTGGCCAGCCCAGTGTCAATCATGAATCAACTCCTCCCCATTTGGAGACCTCCCTATGCACACCACTGATTGGCTGGTGCTTATTTCAGTCATGTGGCACCCCCCCAATCAGACCTGCCTGCGCACAGCATTTATTGGCTACTTTGGTGTAGTGGTTAAGTACGCAGACTCTAATCTGGGAGAACTGGGTTTGATTCCCCACTCCTCCAGTTGCAGCTGCTGGATGACCTTGGGCAAGTTGTAGTTCTGTCAAGGCTGTTCTCTGAAGGACAGTTCTGGAAAGAGCTCTCTCAGCCCCACCCACCTCACAAGGGTGTCTGTTGTGGGGAGGGGAAGGAAAAGGAGACTGTAGTAAGAACCTGATTGGGTTAGAAGAATGGGCAGATGAGCCGAATAAGGTATAAAAACCGAGGGGCATCCAACAGGAAGTCAGAGAAGAAGTCACTTCCTGTACGGGTCTTTCAGGTTCTCATCTGAAGGAACAGAATGGAGTTTGAGTCCCGTGCCACCTTTAAGGCCAGCAAACGTTAATTCCGGGGATAAGCTTTCATGTGCAGGCCCACTTCTTTACACGAAAGCTCATCTCTTGAATAAAACTTGGTTGGTCTTTTTTTTTTTTTTAGAATTTTATTGGTTTATATAAAGAAAGGGGGAAGGGGAAGAGGGGGAGGAGAAAAATGAACAGAAATATACAAATTCCAATTTAACTTCTTGTATACATATCTTCTCATTACTGTTTCATAACTATCTCATCAATCATTCTTATTATTAATCATATTCTCTCAGCATTTGAGTTTTAACCAGTCATAAAACACCCTCCAAGGTCTCATAAATTCTTCTTCCATTTTTCCTTTTAATATGTTTGTCAACTTGTCCATTTCAGCACATTCCATAGTCTTCAATATCAACTCATGTAGGGCTGGAATCTCCGGTGTCCTCCATGCCATTGCGAATAAGATTCTGGCAGTAGTTACAGCATGTAAAATGAAATGTCTGTGGTTCTTATTTAACTCATCTGGTAAACAGTTTAACAAAAATATTTCTGGCTTAAATGGTATTTTAGCCAACCTGTCTGCAGTTAGATGCCATCTATAAAACGTTTCATATAAGTTTTCTTTAAATGTAACAGATTTGGTCAACTTAACATTCGCTTTCCATATTTTGCTCCACTGTGACAGATCGATGTTATGACCAGCGTTCCCTCTAAGCTGAGTTAGTGTGAGCTAGCTCACAGTTTTTTAGCCTCTGGCTCACACATTTTTGTCTTCGCTCAGGGAGGACGGCTCCGGAGCAAACTAATTTACGCAGGAGCTGAATCGCTCGCTCCCAACTTTAATGCCCGCAGCTCACAAAGTAGAATTTTTGCTCGCAAGACTCCACAGCTTAGCGGGGGCATTGGTTATGACCCACATTATTTCGCATCCATGTAACCATACGTTCTTTAACTGTTTAAAACTTGGTAGGTCTTCAAGGTGCCCCACTGGACTCAAATTTTGTTCTGCTGCTTCAGACCAACACAGCTACTCACTGGATTCTAAATACCAGGAGCTTAGCCATGTTCGCTCATTGTAGCAAAATTAGATTTAAAAAAGGCTTGTGCCCCGGCCAGCCCCCGACAAGAAAAATCATCAGATGCATGAATCGTTACCCTCAGTTGGTTGATACGCACAAATTTAGTCGAAAAAAGAGAGAGCTGTAAACAGTGGGGGCCGCAAAAAAGGCCATGAAACGCAAGAGGCATTGTCTGTGACACGGCCCTTTGGCCCAGGCCAAAAGTTTTTGTTTTGTTTTTGCCGTATCCCCTTGTATATTTACGTCAGGCCGCTGAGGTCATACTTCATGCATCTGATGAAGTGGGCTTGGGTCCAGGAAGGCATCTGCCATGATAAATTTGTTAGTCTTTTGGAAGTTTAAATAAATGTTGGTGGGGGGAATGTTTTAAAGGTTAGAAAATAATGTCCCAAACAAATATTAAGAGTTAATAAATCAACCGGCTGCCTTGGGTGGGGGAGAGTCAAGTAGACTGCCTGCCCCTTCTGCCA